TAGAATCTTCGGATTCAGATTTGCCCAAATTGAATCCGGGACAGTGATCTGAATCAATGGATTGAATCGCCGTCCCCGATTTGGGCCGAATCCGAGTCCAAATTGAATAGGGCCCGTTTTGCACAGCCCCACTAGCCAGCCTTACCACACAGTAATAATGGCCTGTCAGCCTGATGTGCCAACTGAATGCAACCTCTAAAAGAAGGTTGGCCTATAAAAAGAATAGAGATTTAAAACTGCTTTAACCCATCTTTGTGCCTTCTAAATATTAGGCTGCTCCAGAGACCAGAATGGCCCCTAGTTTAATTTGGACAAGCCCTCAGATTTGCCACGGTCTGATAGCAGTCTACTCAGGTTGCACTGTAAACTGTAGCATGGTCCAGAGTTTCTACAGCATACAGCACTGCTGCTCAGATGCCAGGACCTCTTCCCTGCAAGATTTTTGAAAATGTATGTTATAAGCAAACTTCCACTTCAAATGCAGCCAACAGTCCTTCAAAACTAAGGAGTAAATATATGCTGCATGCCGAACAAGTGGCAATTAGTAGAGAAGCCCTACAAACTGGTAATTACAGTAATAAAACATTGTGGACTCAATGGTATTTATAAGTTAGCCATTATTACCTTACTGCTTTACATCCTTGAACCAGATGAGAAAAGGTCTGTTCCAGAAGTGACACAAGACTTTTAACTAATGCATTGGTGAATCTCTTTGCTACATCACAGCACAAAAGAAGCAAACCTCCTTACTTATCTTTATTTATGTGATAAATTATTATCTTGGGGGATGAGGTGTACCTGGCAGAAATGTGTGACCATTTGTTCAAGTATCCACCAAAAGAGGCAGAATATGTAATGTCCACTGCATGTGAAAAAAGGGATATCAGCTGTGGTCCCTTAGAGAATTGCCACACAAAGTTGCTAAGTAGCATTTTAGCAAAGAATACAAGTGAAGGTGGTCCATGTATCTATTTTTTAGTGCTTCCTGTTTCCCCTTTAGGACAGCCTTCATAATTCAAATTGAGCTAAGTGAATTAACTTGTGCATACAGAAAAGAATATGGTTTAGTTTATTTTTATTGTTACAGGCTCACCTTCACCACTACCTGCATGTTGATGGGATGGAACAGAGCTGTTTCTCAGAAGCTGTATCATCTCTGACTGACCTAATAGAGGAGTATAACCAGCTAGATGTTAGCAAAGGTGGGCCTAGAACAGATCCCCCAAGACTGAAGATAGCCATATAAGGATTTGGTGTATTTTGGAACACCAAATCACCTAGGTTCACTGGATGGCTTAGAACCAGTGAAGGGCTCCAGAATGACCCTGGCTTTGAGCTGACTGGCATTGTCACATGTTATGATTGGTTCAACCTGTGGGAAAGAATCACAGACACATTGCACTCTAGCATTCAGTTATGGAATATTAAATTGGAGAGCTCATATCCCTCTAGCTGTGGAGTGAATAAAGACCATGATAGAGAGACTGAGGAGGATTATAGCAGCCCAAAGTGTAGCTGAACTTCTTAGACCGTAAGTTCAACTAATGAAGTACAAGCTCTAATTCGCTACATTAGACAACTGTGGGATATTTTTCCTAATATTTTTCCAAGTTACCTGAGAAGACGCAAAAACATATATGCCCCTCCCAAACATAAAAGCAAGCATCTAGAGAGTCTTGTCAATTTAAACTTTGCAGGATACTGGGAGTTATTCCAAAATATTAATCTAAATTGTGTCACTTAAGAGGGAAACAGAGAAAGCAGAGCACTACAGGATTCTGGAGGACATATGGGATGCTTCCAAAATAGTACCTCTTTTAAAGAGGTATTTTGGAGTGGTTTAGCCAGTTTTGGAGAGTTGCAAAGCTCATGGATCTTTGCATAGCTGGCCCTTTGAAACCTTTCAAAGGCATCTGAAACCTTTCAATTGTTACTCCTGTCCACACTCTAGGTTACACTGGTGCTAATGAATGCACTTCATCAGGGTCATGTAGAATATCACTTTTTGCTGTAACTGATAGTAGCACTGACAGCTTTTTTTGAAGAATGAAGATTACGTTCTTGAGAAACTTTTATTTTAATTGTGTTCTTATGTATATAATTATTGGATTGAAGAGACTTGTGTATTTGTAAACACTTGCCTTTATTTTTATAAAATAAAATATATAACTATTTTGAGTTTATCCACAAAGCCTGACTCTGTCTTAAAGCTGCTGTAAACTGCCACAGTTCAGACTGGAGTAATGGCATTTTAAATGTAAGTGTCAGTATAATTAGACACAATAGCATAAGCTCTAATTTTCAATGTCTGAGGCCAGAAATATCCAAGAAAATTAGATGAAGTAAATTTTTGACACAGTTCTTGGAGGGAGAGAGAGAAGAAGCATTCTGAAATGAGTTGTTCCAGTGAAATAACTTACCAGATCTATTATTTATAGATACTTTTGGTGTGAAGTGCACAGGTAAGTCTGGCCTTACTGAAATCTGTAGGAGTTTGCTGTTGACTTCAGTGGAGCAAGAACTTGACCACAGTTCCAATCCCCAAGAATTTACAATATAGGATAAATAAGACACAAAACAAAAGGAACAGATGAAAAGGCAAGAGCATTATATAAAGACATGGGATTACTTTTCATTTTCTGTATTTTAGTGGGAGTTTTAAGTTTGTTTTAGTAAAAGCTTAGACAAATTGTTCTTTGAGGAGATGAATTAGGTGATCCTTGTCTTGACAAATATATTTTTATTTGTGCCTTTGTAAATGTGTCATTTATTCACAACAGTGGGGAGAGGAGAACTCTTGGACAGAGCAATTCAATTAAAATTCATTTTTGCATTTGAAACAGTACTAGGATATATATATCTAATATATATATATATAGTGTGTGTGTGTGTGTATATAAAACATTGCTAGCAAAAAACACTGTAAAAATATCTGTCTTGTGAATCCAGAATGAAAAAGAATTGTTGCAACAAGTTAAAATTCCTTTTTCTAGTAGGTTACTTGGCTGTTTCTTTAATTTAAACTTACACATTCTTTTAGCCATGGAGCAAGACACCTGATTATATGAGCTTTTTCTGTTTTCTGTATTAAACAGCTCAATGTAGCACTCCTTTCTGCATAAGAAAATGACAAAAAGATACCACTCTATAATGGTTTCAGTGTTGGATACATTTAAGTCTTTTTAATGCCTGGCTTTACGTATATGTTTCCAAATAACCCTTAGCAAAAGAATGATGAACAGTTCAAAAGTTAGTTTTAGTGGAAAGGTTGCCCCTTTAGCTAACACTCCAAGCTGTGACTGTGCTTCCAACTTTGCAGTACGGTGCTGTGGTGTAACTTACTGTAAAAGCTTGAGTTCAGAAAATATATCTCCTGGATCACTGCACATCCTCTGACAAACACAGGATGTGATCCACATCATCTTCCACATAAAGGAACCTTCATTAGGGCAATCAAACTGTACAGTGATCATCTTGGACTTGTTAGGTGTGCAACATCTCTTGTCCAGGCACACACCACAGAAAGTAAGTCTGTAGCTTTGTGTGCTTGAGCATCCAGAAAAGGCTAGCTTCTCTGCTTTGGAAAGCTGGAATGTTGGTTGACAGGTTTCTCCTCTTGGAATCTTAAAATGTAAAACCAAAATTTAAATTTTCATGTGCAAAAAAAATCAAAAGATGCTAGAACAAAGGCTGCTAGTGTGGGGTGATCATACAGTCCTGGTACAGCTAGCTGTTTAAAAACAAATAGTTTCTTTGAATACTACCTATCCCCTAGAAGCACTCTTATTTGTCTTTGTAAGTCAGAAGACTGAACATTATGCATATGCATGTGTGTTGCCAATATAATTTAGCAGGACAGCACTAATGATCCTCAGATTTTAGGTGTAACTTATTATTTTACTTAAATTACACTTCTGCAGCTCACTGCTATAGGCTAAAGACAAGTTTGATCTTGTATTTCAGGAAGGCTTATACAGGAGAGAGGAAGGATGGTGTTTTGCATTAGAAATTACCTTTACAGTTTTCAGTATATTGGTCTGACAAGGTTGAATGAAACACAGCCTGTCTTCTTTTCTCATTTCACATTTACTGTTTTCGTTGGTCACTCTATTGGAGATGCCTATACCACAGGTTTTAGAACAAGGGGTCCAAGGAGTTGCCTGTATTAAGCACTTCTTCTTTAAAACAAGTGGTAGACTCTTGTAAGCTGAAAGAGCAACATATTATGCATGTGATGATACAAGATACATGCAGAATTCTAGCTTTAAAAAGCATCAATTAAAAACAATAATTAGCACTTGTTTTCTATTTGGGTAGTGGTTTGTTCATTTGTTTGTTTGATTGTTTGTTTTGATAGGTAAATCTAAATGGTGAAGCTGAAAGGTGCAAGGCTTCCAAAAAGATATTTGGACCCTAAATTTTTATTTAACAAATAAGCAGAAATAAAGCATCTAAATCATCTAGTTTTAGACATTTCAGCCGACACTTGATATATTATAGGACCTTCCAGGTTAAGGTTATAAGAACCGACAATCCTTTATATATATATATATATATATATATAATGTCCACAAGAGTGGCAAACACATTTACAAAATACAAGAATACAAGCCAGCTAAAGCTGTGAAAATTGAATTTAAATCTACCTTGGTTAATTTGGCATAGTTTGGGGAGGTGGATTGGTCCTACTAGCTCCCTCCATAAAAAACATCACTTCCAGTTATCCGCTGCTAATAAATGTCATTCTTTACTTAATGTGAGGACTAATAGAGAAAGCCTTAAAATTAAAATTTAGTGTGCCAAATGTAGACATAGTCTCCAGGATGAGTGGCTGACAGGATTTGAAATCTGACGTATAAGTAACAGGCAATAGCAGAATTATGAGGATACCTGGAAGGTAAACAGCAGTTTAAAGCTCTCATTGCAGGAAGCAGGTTAAAAGCCTGGCACAGATCTGCAATAAATAAAGGGAAGTTACATAGTTGCTCATATTTAGTACATTTTTAAATATGATTGAGAAGCTGTCTTATTGTGGGAATTAGCTAAACAGAATTTTTAAAAGGAAATCTGAAAGTGGTTAAAATAAAGCTTAGCATTTGTTATCAGCACTAACAGAAAAGAAAAAAGTATTAAAACATTGTGCAGACAGGCAGTCAAGTTAAAGCAAGTTAACAGGAGATAGAGACTTACCACAGAACAACTGCTGCACAGTAACTGTTTATGTGCCAACAGTTACCTGGAAGGTAAGGCAGGCTGAAGCAGGGACGAGATGCCTAATTTTAGTTTTCATTAATTGTGAGCACATAAACAGTTACCACCTGTCAGCTGTTCCATGGGATGTTTCTGCCCAATGTTAACTCATATTTACTCGATCCTTTGTCTGTATGCTAGATTTAACAAGCTGTGGCATGACTGCATGCAAGCCACGCATACACTGTACTTCATTTGTAGTCTACTTTAGAATAAGTTAAGGGGAGTACATCATTTTGAAACCATCTTTCAAGGTTTTTCTGAGAAAAGGGAAATAAGTTCTACAAACAATTTCTGCTGCTGTTGTTTTCGCCTGTTCCCTGATACTCATTCTCCATGTTGTCTCAATTTTATTTGTGGATTTCTTCAATCTCAGTCTGCGCTTTTAAGCGCCATGTATACTTCGAGTTCTATAGAAGTAATAAGACATGCACATCATATAGCCCTTAACCAGTAAGAAGTACTTGCTCTGAAGTTCTCACTCCCACGTTGAAGTGTGGCTGGAGGATTTTGTTCAATTTGAAGTAGCTGAAGATTTTTGCCTTGGGGCCAAGGCATTATATTTGTGTCATTTTCTATTTATTCCAGCCCAGAAAGCAAAGCTATGGGAACAATAGCCAAGTCTTTAAAATGGTGGTGACTATTGAGCAAGTTTGATTATTAAACTTCCATTTTGAGCCCACCAGTCAACAGATATTAGTGATTATCAGGTTTTTTCTTTTTAAAAATCACAAATTCGCTGATTAAAAACTGCAAATTCTATGATTAAAAAATCCAAGATCCATGTTTTTCCACAATTAAAATGAAACACCACTCTATATATAGGCATCAGTTAACCCTAATGTTTTATTAATATATTTACAATTTTAAAGCAATTTGGAAGCCTACCAGTGCCTCAATCTTTATAATAAAATACATTCTAAACATCTGTAAATCTTGGCATTTGATTTTTGGTTTTTTATCATGGAAAATCAGAACTCCCCCTTCACTCACCAGGATGTGGGTCCAGCTGCAGCTTTGTAGCACTGAACAGCCTTGATATGCCAGTGCCCTGCCTCTGCCCATGCCATTGCCCCTCACTCCCAAGGCACAGCCCCCTCCCTGGCCCTGCCAGTGTCCCTCATTCCTGGCTCACAGCCCTCACAGTCCTGCTGGTGCCCCTCAGTCCCGACCCACTGCCCCCTATTCCTCTATGCATGAGGAAGGGAGTGGGTGTGTGGAGAAGGTGGGGGCACAGGCGATGCAGTGGGGAGCACATGTCCCCCAAGATTTCTGCACCCACGGCGGGGCACGGGACTGCAGCTGGGCCAGACCAGTTCTGGACAGGAGCCACTTCCGTGGCCCAGCTCCCTCCATGGATCCAGTGCTGAAGGGAGCACTGCACTGCAGTGGTAAGGCACAGCAGTGGCACTGGCAGTAGTGTGGAGATGTGCCCCTGCTACTGCCAGGTAGGCAGGGGGTGCCATGCCATGGTAGCAATGGCAGCACGGTGCTCCCTTCTGTGCTGGGTTCCCCCACTAAGCTGCAGTAACTGCTCCTGGCCAGAGCTCATCCAGCCCCGCTACAGCCCCATGTCCCACTGGGTACAGAAATCTCAGGGGCGTATGCCCCCCCCCCCGGTGCATGGCCT